ATTATTATTATTATTACTACTACTTTTGTTACTATTATTAGTAGTACTTTATTTCAGTAATGGCAGTTGCTTTGCATGTTTTGTTCTACAGTTGAATACATTTTTTTCCTTTTGGCACAGGAAAACCAAAATGAAGTCTTTAGTTCTCTTTGATAACCAAATATAAATGTCATGTACAATAAGTGATACTTTGCCTGACTTTGAGCAGATCACTAACACCCCCTTCTTGGCTCTCCCCAGCTGAAAGCCGTCCACGAACAGTTAGCTGCTCTTTCTCAGGCCCCGGTAAGTAAACCAAAGAAAAAGAAAGAGAAGAAAGAAAAAGACAAGAAAAAGAAAGAGAACAAGCACAACAAATCCAAGCCAGAGGAGAAAGGCAAGCCAGGACAGCCTCCGAAACCAGCCCAGCAGAAAAAGGGTCCTGCCAGAAAGGTTAACAGCACTGTTCCAGGCAACAGGTTTGCAGGTTTTTTTTTTCTTTCCATTATTGATTTATTTTTTATTTTTTAAACTGTTCTGGATTTGTTTTATGGGTTGAGGCTAAAACAATCAATTGAGGTCTGAAGGGTTTCTGCTGTATGGATGGAACCTTCACAGGCAACCAAAGAAGGGTGGCAGAGGGCCAGGCTACGAGTCTGACGAGGAGATGTGTCTGCCCATGACGTATGATGAGAAACGGCAACTGAGCCTCGACATCAACCGGCTGCCTGGCGAGAAGTTGGGCAGGGTGGTCCACATCATTCAGTCCAGAGAGCCTTCACTGCGGGATTCCAACCCTGACGAAATCGAAATCGATTTTGAGACGCTCAAACCTTCCACTTTGCGTGAGCTGGAGCGATATGTCAAGTCCTGTTTACAGAAGAAACAGAGGAAACCTCCACGTAAGTGCACACTCTTTGCCTACACACATAGCTAAATGCCATATAGGTCATCAAAATATGGTAACTTTCTGACTTAATGTTTTAATTTTTTTCCTTCTATTTAAAACTGATGGTGTTTATTAGCATCGCTAAATTTATTGCTAATCGACTTGCATTTTGTTTGTTTTTCACAAATGTTTCCCGTTTTTTGTTTTGGTATGCAAATACGGTCTTGGTTCAGTTCTATAACCGCTGTGTCTCTCTGTTTGGTCTCAGAGAAAGGAGGCTCAGGCCCCTCTCGGCTCAGCGGCAGCAGCAGTTCCTCAGACTCGGGCAGCAGCAGCTCCAGTGGCTCCACTTCAGATAGCAGTGACTCCGACTGAACACTTTATTTACTTTATTTTTTTTTTTTACACTTTTAAAAAAACAAAAAAAACATTGTATGCAGTCAAGGTTGTTTCCCCTATGAGACTTTTTATATGAAAGAGAAAGAAAAGAGACAATAAAAATGCATCATGTCAGAACTTTTTTTTTTTTCTTTTGGAAATGTCATGAAGAAAATTACAGCTAAAAAAA